CCCTACATGCCACATTGGGGATGTGTCCTGACTGGGAATAAACCATGACCTCCTGGTTCATAGATCCATGCTCAACCACCAAGCCTTGCTTGTTTTTATGTATGTTTTTTAACCCGAAATTGATTTTGTAAGGTGTGAGATGAAGATCTAATCCTATATCTCCCTCCTCCTCCCCTCTGGCTAACTAATCAACTCCATTTATGGGATAGCTTAATCTTTCCCCACTGGTAAGAAATGTCCATTTCTTCATATATCAAATTTCCATTTTTTGCTGCATGTTGGGTTTTTTTTTAATCCTCACCTGAGAACATTTTTCCTATTGATTTCTAGAAGGAGTAGGAGGGAGAAAGGAGAAGGGGGAAGAGAGAGAAACATTTATGTGAGAAAGACACAACAATTGGTTGCCTCCAGGGCACATGCCCTTGACTGGGAATTGAACCTGAGACCCCTTGATCTGCAGGCCGGTGGTCTAACCACTGAGCACCCAGCCAGGGCTTGCTGTGTTGTTGCTTTTCAGTGCTTTCCATTCCGTCGCATGGTCTATTTGTTAATCACTAAACCAACACTATAAAGTATCTTACTCATTATAGCTTTGTATAAATTTTGATATGTAGTAGGGCAAGTCGCCCATCACATTCTTTAAAATTGATTTATTTTTCTCATCTAGGAAATTATATTCATTGTCACCAGTGACTTTCACACAAGCTGCCAAGAGATTAAGCAGTGTTCCCAAGGTCACAAAGTCAGGAAGGAGGAATCTGCCCAGATCTGCTCAAGGCCAGAGTTCCTCCCGCTGCCTCCTGGGCTTCTGCCTTCCCAAGGCCAAGCACATGGCGTCTAGGCACCAAGAGGTGGGTGTCAGAGACTCCCAGGTGGGCAGGCAAGCGAAGGTAGGCAGGTGGGCTGGTTTGGGTTTGGTCTCTGGGGTCCAGACTTTGCCAGCCAAGAGAGGGGGCCTGGCCTTTAACTGGCAAAACTGGGAACAGGCCCTAGCCGGTTGTCTCCGCGGATAGAGCGTCGGCCTGCGAACTGAAAGGTCGCAGGTTCGATTCTGGTCAGGGGCACATGCCCGGATTGTGGGCTCGGTCCCCAGTGGGGGACTTGCAGGAGGCAGCCGAGCCATGATTCTCTCTCATCATGGATGTTTCTCTCTCTCTCCCTCTTCCTTCCTCTCTGAAATCAATAAAAATATCTTAAAAACAAAAAAAAAACTGGAAACATAAGATTGGAGGGAATGGAGCTGAGAGCTCCCACCCCAGGACGGAGAGCCCACAGGTGTCTGTGGGCACCATCTCCTCACTTTTCAGGCTGAGCAGGGTAGTGGCTGCAGCCTGAAAGGGGACCTGTAGCTTCTTTTATGCTGGGGTTGTGGTCGGCGTTGGGAGGTTTGGGGGAAAGAATCTGGAACCCAGGCCAGGTACCTCCCCGCCCCCTCCCCCCCCAAAGCTCCATCCTCCTCCAGCCCCTCCCTGCCTGGTTAAGGGGCGCTAATCAGCTTAGGCAGATTAAGGGCTCAGGCTAGCTCTTCCCACACCCCCGCCCGGGCCGGCTGGAAGAGGACACCTGGGGGAGGGCGTGTGACCCCTCACCTGGCCCTGGGCCCGCGCCCCTACTTTACGGTGAGTGGCAAAGGCCCCTCGCGCGGACTGGGGTTCCTTCTCCCCCTGGGCATTTAAGGAGGGCGCTGGCCTGTCCCTTCTGACCCCGGACCCGGCCCCCCTTCCGGTGACCCTGACAAGGGGAGAGGGGCAGACAAACAGGGAACCGGAAGCGAAGGGTTGGGAGGTGCGGTGGCTTCTATACCAGCGGTTCTCAACCTGTGGGTCGCGACCCTTTTGGGGGTCGAACGACCCTTTCGCAGGGGTCGCCTAAGACCATCGGAAAACACATATAATTACAGATTGTTTTTGTGATTCATCACTATGCTTTCATTATGTTCAATTTGTAACAATGAAAATACATCCTGCATATCAGATATTTACATTACGATTCATAACAGTAGCAACATTACAGTTATGAAGTAGCAACAAAAATAATGTTATGGTTGGGGGTCACCACAACATGCGGAACTGTATTAAAGGGTCGTGGCATTAGGAAGGTTGAGAGCCACTGCTCTAGACCATGCCCTGGACCCCATGTTGTCATCCAAGCCAGAGGAGGGGCAGTGGAGATACTGGGTTAGCTGGGCTTTGAGAAACTGGGGGGTTGCGGAGAGA